GGTGCCCGGCCTGTCTCTCCCTCTAGCCTGCCCACAGTGCCCAGCCTGCCTCGGCTGGCCTTATGACAACCTTCCCCCTATTTGCTCTCCCTTTTCGTTCCTAACTCTCCTCTCTTCCATCTGTACCTCCTAATGTAACGCTTTCCCCAACACAGACACACATGCTCATGCACAAATCATGCCCACCATCAAGGGAGATGTATTGTATGCAACTTAAACAGTTCACACATTCACTGAATGATATCACTTAATGGTTATGTGATTGTACCATAATAATAATAATAATTATTATTATTATTATATTGATTATAATAATTATATTTTTGCTTGCTTTTTTTAGTTGATTTTATTTTTCCCCTTTCTTTTGTTCTTTCTTTCCTTTACACAGTTTGATGACACCTTGTTGTATGTCTTTGACCCTTCAATAATAATAAAAAAGAACAAAGTAGATTATAACATTAAAATTAATTACAAAAAAAATCTAAATAAGAAACATCATTTGATTTTGTGCATAATTTAGCAGCTTCTTCCATTTGGTTTGTTCTGAAACCATGTCCTCTGGAGAAAACCCTTGACTGAGCCTCATGCATGTCGCATAGTCCTGCAGAACCATTCATTTCCTCTCAAGCTACCTGCATGTTGTGGTTTGACATGAAACATCAGCAGTGCTGCTGCAGGCAGCTGCTTTGTGGCCAGTTGTGGCCCCCCTGCCGGGAGATATGCGATCTGTAATGATGAGCATCGGAAACACCAACTTAAGACGTGCTGGTTGTTCCATATCTGTGAAATGTTAGTAAGCTGCTTTCAATTATCGTAGTAGCTGAAATTTACGACGGCATTAATAGGAGTATATGTAGAGAAATATTCTGGACATTTCGTCCTCATGCTATGATAGGTCTATATCTATTTTCAACAAGTGTCCTTAAAAATATGTATTTTGCAAAATTACTTAAATAATTTACCAGAACTTCAGCTCTGTTTACACAACATATTAATGTCACTGCAATGAAATAGGCCTGTACCTTCCAGATAGTTCCATGTTTCCAATTGCCATTGATGCATTACATAGAGTCAGTGCATTGAGAAAAACAGGTACTGGAACCCTCCTTGTTATTCAGTACCAGGTGCTCGTTATTCAGTAAAAATTACCGGAACTCCTCTTGTTACTCAGTAACAGGTGTGGGTACCTTCCTTGTTATTCAGTACCTAGTACCGGTACTCCTCTTGTTACTGAGTAATAGGTGCTGGCACCTTCCTTGTTATTCTGTACCAAGTACTGGTACTCCCCTTGTTATTCAGTACCAAGTACCGGTACTCGCCTTGTCATTCAGTATCAGGTGCGTGTACCTTCCTTGTTATTTAATACCAAATACTGGTGCTCCCCTTGCTTGTTATTCAATACCAAGTACTGGTTCTTCCCTTGTTATTCAGTACCAGATGCAGGTACCTTCCTTGTTATTCAGTACCAAGTACTGTTATATTTTATTATATATAAAATATATATTTCTGTTATATTTTATTAATTGTATTTTACTGAATTAACGTATAGTGCAGAAAATCTATCTCAGTTGTGAAGAAAAATGGTCTTGCGTCTCCAAACAAACTCCAGCCTATGCAAGCAGTCAGATCAGCCAGGTGGGTTTTCCTTCTGCTCTTAAAATGTGCTCTTATCAACTAATCTGAATAATGTGGTCATAATGCTAACCTTAAAATCTAATAATAAATATCTTTAACCATACTCGTAAAATTGCTTTAAACAGTAATACTAAAATGTATGTTTAGTTTGGGTAGAAAGTTTCTCAGCTTGCAGCTTGGCTTTCATTTTACAGTTTTTTTCAGTCGCTAACAAGCATTTTTCCAACCAAGTGTCAATTTTTCAAAACTCTTAATATAATGTGCACAGCATCGGTCTGTTGTGGCCATACCATTCACAAATTTCATGTCGTTTTCACACAATATGCAGTCAGTCACATTTCTACAATGCTTACATTTTCTTAACAGACAAGCTACAGTATACCCACCACCAAAATTATGGATCGTTTTTGTCTTATTTACAAATGTTAATACACAACATAAAACCAATAAAAACAACAATATTCCAAACTTTAGCTACAGTATAAAACCTCTACTTCTGCAATAATATCAGCTGAAAAACAACACATCAGCTCAAAAATAAGCTGACAATTAACAAACAATTCAATAATTGACATTCGCAATATCAATAGCATCAGCCTCACAACTATTACTCGGGCATTGTCCAAACACAGAGTACGGATGAAGCAGCTCTACACTGTTCCCTTTGAAAGGAACAATGACAGAGTCAAGGAGCTCCGGCGACAATATGTCCAGGTAGTATAGTGTATATTCAATGTCTAGTTCTACAGTAAGCTTACTGTAAGCTATAAGTATACATATATGTAACCTATACATAATATGTTTCACCAGCACCTGGTTCCAGACCAAGATCAGGAGGGAGAGAACATGAGGACCTTTGTCATCACCTGGGACAATGTGGCTTTCCATCACTCTCAAGCGATCACAACATGGTTTGATGTCCACCCAAGACTGGTCCGTCTCTTCTTTCCACCCTATTCACCTTTCCTCAATCCCATAGAGGAGTTATTTTCTGCATGGAGGTGGAAGGTTTATGACCATCAGCCACATGACCAGATGTCA